GTCCCCAACCGCCTCCTGGACCTGCCACCCCGCTGGCCCCGCCTGCACCTCGTACCCTAGCGTCGTTTGTGGATTTGAATTCTCTTCTGGGTCCACCTCCCCCTTTCAGATTACGCTACTGGAAGGCCGACCCCGCCACCTCATCAGTGACCCCCTCATTCGGGGACACCTGGGGAAACGTCCCTCGTTTTATTCTTTGCCGAAGGCTTCTCTGAGCCCCACTCCTTTGGGTGGTTAATTAATAGAGGTTTTTGAGTTCCTCCCATTTGTTTTTCCCGTCTCTGGACTGGAAGGCCCCGCGCGGGGCTGTGCGCCTCTGCCCCCCAGTGTTTTCCTCACACCCAGAGACCCAGCTCCACCTGCCGCCCCGCTGGGGATGGCCCCGCAGTGACAGCAAGGCGCCGGGCCCCCAGCTCCAATACTGCTCCTGCCCAGGCTGGTGTCCACATACACTGCCCTCCCCTCCCCCCTCCCCTATCCCCTCCTCTTTTAAATATTCCGAGCTCTGGATAGAGAGAAGAAGCTGCAGAGGAAGATGTGGCTGAAGCTTTTTTTCTTGCTCCTATATTTTCTGGTCCTGTTCGTCCTGGCCAGGTTTTTTGAGGCCATTGTGTGGTATGAAACTGGCATCTTCGCCACCCAGTTGGTGGATCCAGTGGCATTGAGCTTCAAGAAGCTGAAGACCATTCTGGAGTGCCGAGGGCTGGGATACTCAGGGCTGCCGGAGAAGAAGGATGTCCGGGAGCTGGTGGAAAAGTCAGGCAAGTATCGGGCACCCTGTTATCTCCTCCACCCGGGGCGATGGCCTGTATCCTTGTACCTGGTGATTCCCTAGAATGAGGCAGTACCTGGAAGGGTTAAGCCGAGGACTCCGAGAGCTGCCTAAGATTTCTTTGTCCAGGTTTTCTACAATAAAATCTGTGAATCCCAGAATTCAGAATGAGACGGAAATTATTTGTAGGAGATTTTGTGTGTCTTCGAAAATATTTGTAAATATAAGTCTAAAGTGCAGCTTCTTAGGTTTATCTGCCACGTTTAGTGATTTTTCTCAAAATTCGGGAGTGTCATTCAGTTGCAGACACGTTGGAAAGCATGAGAATCAGTTAAAATTCATAAGGATACAAGAAAAGAGAAACTCCGAAACTGTTGTCCTTTAGATAGCAGTGTTCCCGGGAGGGGAGAGTGTCATTGGAATACTTACTATCAAAGAAGCACTTGGCCCTAAGATTGACATTTTGTAAAATGAGTGTACCGATAAAGTGTATTTTTGTGCAGTGATAGCTTCTTCCTACATTAAGTTTGGTGAAAATAAGGTGAACATTTTGTACGAATGCCTGCCGTGGTTTTTGGTTTATTTTTGTTTTCAAAGAGTTTATATGTCAGGATTAAAAAAAAATTTTTTGCTCAAAGATGTAAATTTTTTTCCTCTTGGCCTTCTGTGTCACAGCCCAGCTGCACTTAAATGGGTTGACAAATAGAGCTGAAATTGTTCTAAGAGAATGTTTAACATCGTAAAGAATGTATTTTCAGTAACTTCTGATTTGGATGAAAAACATGGTTCAATTTTTTTCACCATGGACAAAGTATATCTTTGTTTAGATATACTTCCTGGAAGGGGGATGTACTGTAATTTGAGAAAGGCATTCTGGATTGCTCTAAGAAGCAGTTGAAACTGATGGTTATCTTTTCTGTTGTTTTAAGTGTATCTATCAGCTGTGTCTTTTGTAAGACCCATTTTTTTCCCTTATTTAGTACCCTACAAACATGTAGTGTATTAGACAAGAATACTTGCTAACTGTGGAGGAGCTTAACATTTGCATATTTTCAGGTTAAAGGTTATAAAGCTCCTGTCTCATTCCTGGTTTGGAAGAGGGAACCCTCTGCAAAACTGATATTTTTCTTTAAAGAAAGTACAGAATCTTGTTTTTTTCCCCTGGCCTTTTGTTTACTGACTGGTTTATGTTGTTAAGTTTGGTTTCCAATTCAAGCTGGTGAGTTTGAACCACCGACCTTGTGGTTCAAACTGACCTTTAGATCCAGTGCTTATCCTATAGAGTCACACTATCAGGATGCAGGGGCGGGGGAGGGGATGGAATAGTACCTAAAGTAAAAGGTCTGTATAAACTCTCCAGGATTATAAATGGGAAATATCTCTAAAACCAAATCATTTTTCACAGTAAAGTAATTTGGTCACACATTGTTTTCCTTTTGACTTTTATATTGTTGCCTTCCTTTGGACATAAAAGTTCTTGTTAAGAGTGTTCAAGAAATCCATATAAAACTTCTGGAAATAAACTTTAATCCAAATAATAGATTGATTTTTAAGATAAACAATGCAACCTATGAGCCTTTTATGAGACCAAATGGTCAACATTAACCCTAAGCACAGGTGAGTATGGAAGAAGGGGCAGGAAGCTAGATTAATGGAGACAGGATAAACAGAATGGAAATAATGATAACTGTTGACACATTATGGAAAATGTCACCAATGTCATGGAACAATCTGTATAAAAATTTGTTGAATGGGAATCTAATTTGCTATGTAAAATTTTACTTAAAATGCAATAAAATATTCTTTTAAAAGACAAAAATAAGCAGGCAGGGAAACTAGAGTGCTGGAAATGGAACAAACAGAACACACAGATAATATTGACACATTGTGAAAAAAATGTAATCAATGTCCTGAACAGTTTGTATGGAAATTGTTAAATGGGAAACTTGCTGTGTTAGAGGAGAATATTGAAAGTGCCATGGGCTGCCAAAAGAACCAACAGATCTGTGTTGTAAGAAGTACAGCCAGAGTGCTCCTTGGAGGCCAGGATGGCCAAACTTCATCTCTCATACTTCGGACATATTGTCAGGAGGGACCAGGTGCTGGAGAAGGATATTATGTTTGGTAGAGTGGAGGGTCAGAGAAAAAAATAGGAAGACCCCCAGTGAGGATTGGAAAAGTGGCAGCATCAATGGACTCAAGCGTGGCAACAATTGTGAGGTTGGTCCAGGACCGGGCAGTGTTTCGTTCTGTTGTACATAGGGTCGCTATGAGTCATTACCAACTCAATGGCACCTAACAACAACAAAAACTTGCTGTGTAAACTTCTTCCCAAAACACAAAGTTGGTTTTGTTGTTGTTGTTACGAAAAGAAAGCTACAAAAAATCTAAAGAATTTACATTTTGTTGTTGTTGTTAAGTGCCATCGAGTCGGTTCCGACCCATAGCGAGCCTGTGCAGGGTTTCCGAGGGTGTAAATCTTTACGGGAGTAGAAAGCCTCATCTTTCTCCCGCGGAGCGGCTGGTAGTTTTGAACTGCTGACCTTAAGGTTCGCAGCCCGATTCATAACCACTACGCTACCAGAGCGCCTTTCCAATCTTAGAATTTACATAGCCCACAAAAATATGACTCAAGATCACACATTTGGTAGCAGAGAAGTCTTGCTATAGCAATTTATCAACATTAGTAAGTACTTAGTGTGAATGGTTTTACTGTTACCCTGGTGTAGTGCTTAGTTTTCTACCGCTTCATGTTTAAGGCAAAAGAGAATTTGTCTAAAGCTCGGAATTTACACTAAATTTGTGTCCGACTATAGAGTTTGTTCTAATAAATCAAGTTGTAATCTCCAGGTCATGTAAGCCTGTTACTATTTTAAGCAAGGCTGATGGCAAATTACGTAAACCCATTTCTTAATCTTTTAAATTAGAGGTATAGAAACTATTCTGTTGGAAACGTATTTGAAGCCTGGGCATGTTATATACATAATGAAATAACTTTAATATTGTGATGGCTTTTTAGACTGACACAGATTCAGTAGTTTCCCAATAAAGTGTGTGACAGGCCCATTAGAAATAATCTTCATGAGGAGATGACTCTTTGTTTTTCCTGACACAGAACTAAGCAACTAATTGCCATTCAGTCAATTCTGACTCATGATGATCCCATGTGTAGGAGAATAGAACTGTGCTCCATAGGCTGAATTCAGTGGCTGCATTTTCACAAGTTAATCTCCAGGCCTTTATTCTAAGATACCTCTGGGTGGGCACAGCCAGACACTTAACCATTTGCACCACCCAGGGGCTCCCCTTGACACGTTGTTCGTAATTGTTTAATTGAATATATGAATCTTAATGGGTATATTCAAGTTTTATTATTCTTTCCTATAGAAAATAAAAGTGCAACAGGATTCTTAATGATGTAAAATGGAATTAATTGTTGAAGTTGTTGTTAAGTGCCGACAAGTAGTTCTGACCCATTGTGACCCTTTATAGGGTTTTCGAGAAGCGGCTAGTGAGCTTGAACTGCCAACCTTGCAGTTCAAACCAACTTTGCAATCTAGCGCATTAACCAACAATGCCACACCAGTACTCCAATTATGAAGTTAGGAGAGTCGTTGTTTTGGTTTTTGGTGGGTTTTTTTTTCAATATTTTGACCTTTCAAAATCTTACTAGTGTTCTGTTATTTTTCTTTCTTCAGGTGACTTGATGGAAGGTGAGCTGTATTCGGCTCTCAAGGAAGAAGAAGCATCTGAATCCGTTTCCAGTACCAATTTCAGTGGTGAAATGCATTTCTATGAGCTTGTAGAAGACACAAAAGATGGCATCTGGCTGGTTCAGGTATCAGAAACAGTGACTGTTCTTGATAATTTGAGAACATTTAAAATAGATTACTTTTACCAAAATAGTATTCACAAGCCCTTGTACTCACAGCATTCTTCTAAGGCATAACTCAGTCCTCAGGGAGACGCCACTGTCCTCTTAAAGAGCTTTTGCAACCCAGGAAAAGGAAAATGGAAGAAATGGAAAAAGGAACTTTTAGGGAAAGGGAGTTGGCTTTGTTGTTGTTGTTGTTTAGAATCAGCAGAAGCAAATCTGTTTTACTTTGTTGGTCTTCATTAAAGTGAAACACATGTGCACACATATATTCATTTTGTTTCATGACTTATCTTGTTAACTCCTGTTTTGAATTCACTGGACTAAATAATTTTTGTATCTAAAAGAAAAATCATAAATTAAAAATGAATTCTGGTCTTAGGAAAATAGCCAGCTTTGTGGCTGTAGGGGAAGAGCCATCGTGGGATATTGCTGTTGTTAGGTACCATCGAATCACTTACAACTCATCGGAACCCTATGTAACAGAATAGAATTGTCCCAGAGGATTTTCTAGGCTTTGTGTGGCACTGCGCTGGACCACAAGGTCGATGTGAACTGCAAGGTCAGTGGTTCAAGCTCACCAGCTGCTCCTTAGAAACCTTATACAGAGTCACTATGAGCCAGAAACGACTCAGCAGCACTTACCAACAACAATCTTCATGGGAGCAAATCACCAGGTCTTTCTCCCATGGAGTGACTGGTGAGTTCTTAACAGCAAAGTGCTGAACCATTGAGCCACGTGTGTTTATTTGTTTGTTTATAACACTGATGAGATTTCTTGTTTTATGCTGTCGTAATTTTACATTGGAGTTTGGTTCAATGTCTGAAAGTAGCCGTTTCAGATTTCTTTCTGAGAACAAAGACTGAAAATATAGTAGAAAATGCTGAGTTCTGAGATGGTAGTTGCAGGTCTAATCCTGTTACTGATTTGCAGTATGATTGTGGATAGATTTTTTTGTTGTTGCTTGTGGCCTCAAATAAAAACATATGTATCTAATAAGAATGAAACCATAAAACCATAGTTTACTGTGCTAAAGATTTGAGATGTGAGAAATCTTCAAGTGACTGCTTTGCATATCTGTAGCCTTTCCTTTCCTTTCTTAATGTGTTTCACCCTCCAGATAATTAAGTTTATCAAATCTAGAAGGATATGGTTTCCATCTACATATTAGCCACTCAAATTCTTCTAGTTTATTTCTGATTTAGTTAAAAATAAACTGTATTGTCTCTGAAACTAAAATTTATTAAGTAAACTTTTTCCCACTTATTTATTCCTAGTAGTCTGATTGAGATTTATCAGATTGAGTAGTTTGATATTTATTAGAGAGATTGATTTGGGTGGCCAGGCCTTGTGTTCTAGTCTAAAAATTGGTTACCCACATTGATGACCCCATAGAGATGAATGGTAACGTTGCTGAGCACTCAAAACTTGGAAGAGCCATGTCAAAAGTCTGGAAATTCTTTTGGAGATAGGATGCTGCCTATAGATAACAAACACATCCCGACTCACTAGTTAACACTATATTATTGTTTTATGAATAAATGATCTAATATTTTTGATGTCCTGTGGTAAAAATGTGTGTGGTGATATCAAACTTCCTCTACCTTCAGGGGAGAGAGGAGAATCAACATCAGCATCAGCCCAAAACTGATTCCTGTGAGGTAGATAGAGGTCAGACACGCCTCCAATCTCCAGTCTTTTTACCAATTCTGACACTAGCTGTGCCTCCTAAGGCACTCTCTATTTCTCTGCTGAGTTTGTTAATTTGTTGCAATGGCCACACAAAACTCAAAAACCATATTCATAGTGATGGAGTTTATAAGGGGACTTCAAAAAGTTTTGGGGAAAATTCCATTTATCCATGAACTTCTGGAAAACCCTTTGCATTAGGAAAGTAACAGGTTATAATTCAGGATCAGGATCAGGAAGCACACAGACACAGTCTTAGAAGGTTCCCCTGGCACTTGAAGAAGGGAGTACATCCCTCCTTTCTTCAGTGCCGAAAAGCTCTCTCTACTCTTCTCTCTGTATAGACCTCCTCTCAGCCCCGGAGGATTAGCCTCCCACCTCTACCCAAGTACCCTCTCTCCACCTTCACTGAGGTCTTTCTTCTGCCCTGCTTGGCCAATTATTGTAAATCTAATTAGCTCTGCTGATAAGTACCCAGAGGCACTCGACTCTGCCAGGAAGCCTCCTGTCTGTAGACCTTCAGCTCTCTCCCTCTACCCACAGTATCATCTTGTGCCAGCTCCTAGTTCTTGCTGCTTATACCAGTGCCATTAGGCTCTGCTGTGCTTGTCTCACACTGTCTCAGGTGTTACAACTTTCTCTGTCTCCTGCATCTAGGAGGTTCTGAGTGCAGGGACCTTGGGTTCACATGACGTGCTCCACTCCCAGCTCTTCTTATTGATGGAATTGGCTCCCTCTAAGCCTAGCAAGGTGACAAAACTGAGCAATCCCCTCATTAGGAGTCCATAAACTTTGTTTGCATGGTCCCACCCCTACCAGGATTCCATGCATCCAATTTGCATGATTGTTGTCCAATCCCCTTGGTGGGCCACAAGCACTTTATTTGCATAGCCCCACCCAGTAATTTTTGTGGGAGTCACAAAACCATGACTGCTGTTGTTATGTGCCATCGAGTCAGCTCCGACTCATTGACCCTGTGTAGGTTGCCAAGGAGTGACTGATAAGTGTGAACCACTAACTTTGTGGTTCAAATTGACCTTGCAGTCAACTGCTTATCCTACAGTGCCACCCCAGGACTCCATAGAGCCATATTAAAGATATCCATGGATTAAACTTTTTTGATATGTTGCAAATTCATTGAACAGTTTATTAAGAAAATATTATGTGTATCAGGCCCTGAAGATATAACAGGAAACATACATGGGCTAAGTCCTTGCTGTCTCAGGGAGCTCACATTGCAGTTGAATGAGGCAGGCACTAAATAAATATTTACTCTAACATCAGTTAGTGGGATGTGCTAAGAGAAGAAAGAAGGGTAAGGAGACAGTGACAAGGGACTCTTATAAGGTGACCTTTGATTGAAGTGAAGAACAAATTTTTTAATGGATGCTAGTGAATTGTTAGCATTATAAATTCTAGTTACTAAATTATTTTCTCTGAAAATGGTTTTTAATATATATTTATATGGTTTGCTGTACTGATCACCACTGTCTGGTTTATATATCTTGGCACCAGTGTTTGACATATGTCAAGTGGCTTAGTCTAGAAGAATAATCTCTGACAAAGAATACAAAAGAGCAGCTAGTTGATTTGAACTGCTGACCTTGTGTTTAAAAAAGTTCAGCTCATTGATACACCAGGACATGAGTATAATTCATATAACATACTAAATATGTGTTGACCAACTGTTTATGTTATGAGTAAGGTTATGTTATGTGACCAGAAGGTCTACAGTAGACTATTAGTATATTAGTTTTGGGAGAGGCAAAAGTTAAATGTGGATTTTTGACTGTGCAGGAGGTCGACTCTCCTAACCCCGCCCCCCCCCACACACACATTGTTCATGGCTTATCTGTATTTTAATAAAAGCTGGCTAATTTCACTTTACTAAATCATTTCTTAAAATGTGTGAATCATGCTTTTTATAGATAAGGATACATCGATTCTGGCCAATTCAATCTGCTTTAAATTGGGTTTATTTTAGATATTCTGTTTAGAAGTATTTAAGCACATCAAAGTTCTTTCTTTTTCCATCAATTTTCTAATATTATTTCCGTAATCAGATGAATTATAGTTGTTGTTGTTTTTAATGTATTGAGAAAAAAGGTAGTTAGGTAACATATAACTATTAATAATGACTTTAGGCTTCATATATCATGCCATTGAAGGAATAACTAGATTCACATATTTTAGGAAAAATGGGTCTATCTTGAGATGGGTTGGCATAGTGGCTGCAATAATGGGCACAAACATGACAACACTTGTAAGGATGATGCAGGACCGGGACTGTTGCATTCTGTTGGACATACATGCATAAGGTTGCTAGGAGCTGGAACTGATTGAGTGACACCTGAAAACAGCAACTTAGCTGTCCACTCAGCTTGGTAGGTTCATTATCTATCTGAAGATATAGATAATTTGCACTGATTATCATTCTTGGTAATACTACATATAATATGACTCCAAAAGTAAAAGTACGTTTCTTTAGTTTATTTAATTCGTCTCATATTCTTTATGATTTTGATTTTTTCTGCAACTCAAAATAAGTTTATTTTCTGAATTATATATGTTAATGTTATTGTTGTTAAGTGCCGTCGAGTAGGCTCCGACTCATAGCAACCCTGTATAGGGTTTCCAAGGAGCAGCTGGTGAGTTTGAACTGCCAACCTTGCAGTTCAAACCAACCTTGTAGTCCAGCGCCTTAACCCACAGTACCACTCATGTTAATAACCTTCCTATATTTCTCAATAATTTTAAGATGAATTCGTGCTTGTTAATTAGCCTTACATTAAAGAAAAAATATTAGGATATGATCTATTCATATCAAGGAGGCCTGGTGGTACTATTTTCCAGTTTTGTGACTTCTGTGATTCTCTTACCACTGTACTCTTCCTGGCATCATAAATAGAAGATATTTTCTTTCAAAACAAGCTCTTGGCCTAAGAGACAGATGGCACAGTGGATAGACTTTTGAAATGGAAATGTTAGCAAACTTTACAGATTTATCCTTGTCTTAGCATTTCTATTTCTTTCTTGATTTTTGTCATAGTTCAAAGAAGGATTGGGATACTTGTTTTCTACTGCCTGTGTACATAAGGAATTTAAAGGAATATGAGGGATTTTAAGTCCTGAGACTGGTGTAGTAGTAAAAAGCACTGTATGGATTAAGTAAGATTTTGAGTCAATATTTATTGAAGTATTATGGTAATATGTTTCCTGTTTGGCTGAAAAGAATTACTGACTGTTTTTATACTTATTTACATTTGCTCTTAGGTGAATAGCTTTTTAAAGGGAGGTTCTATATATTTATCCCCTTCATGATGCCTCTCTTAAGGGAAAAGGCATGATGAACCACTTTATCCTTTGTGTTGGTGACAAAGTTCCATGTTTATTCTTAAAGTAAGGCCTAGAGAATACCAAAAAAAAATTAATTAAATGCCACAGAATTTTATTTTTGTCAATTACTCATCTTCATTTTTAATGATTTTATACAGTTGATATATATAAATTTAGGTTGGCCTAAGGTTTGTAAGTAAAGACATATAAAGTATCCTGCTATAATGAAATAGAGAGTTTGTATGAATTTCCATTATCTTTTGAATTTCATTTTCCACAAACTTTTTGAAGAACTGTGTATTAAGGAATGCTGAAAATATCAGACATAGCATAGCACTCCTGTTGTTGCAAGTAGTTACCTAATTAAACATCATGATTGTTGGAGTCTTAGTGTAGAGCTGTGGGCTAATGCACTGGACTGCAAAGTCATTTGAGCAAAAAGGTTGGTGGTTCAAGCTCATCAGTTGCTCCTTAGAAACCCTATACAGGGTCACTGTGGGTTGGAAACGACTCTACAGCACTTAACAACAATAAATTGTTCAATTGGGAACTAACAGTATTTAAAAAGATATACTAAGCAGTCTAGTCGGTATTAAATCCTACCTTTAAAAATGTGCAAAAGTGTATTTTAGAATGCACTAAATTGATCAAATTTATGGCTGGCTGGGATGTTCAGTTGCATTGTTCCGAGAACCTTGTAACCAGGTTACTGCGGAAAGGACTTTTCATTGTAAAAGAAAGAAGAATGAGTTACTAAGCTATAAAAAGTTGAAAATTGTTTAGTTCAGTTTGTATATTCAGTTAGCACATAGATGTGGGATATGGTAGGCACTAGCTGGTAAGTAAGTGTAAGGACTTCTATTAGAGTAAAGGACCCATACTTTAGAAAGCAAAATGGATACATTGCTTCACTTCCAGATTGCTTACCAAGTCTGTTCCAGATTTAGAATGCAGGTTGCACTTTCAGTTTTTTCTAATCTCTGAAAATACTCTCCGCTTAGAAAGCAACCTCCTTCTTGAACTCTCAAGGAATATGCCTCCCTTTTTAATAGGACTGGTGGTGGTGGTGTGCCATGGAGTCGGTTCCAACTTGTAGCGATCCTGTATAAGGTTTTGGAGGCTGTGAATCTTTACAGGAGCAGAAAGCCTCATCTTTCTCCTGCCGAATGGCTGGTCGTTTCAAACTGCTGACCTTGTGGTTAGCAGCCCGACTGGTAATCGCTACACTACCAGAGCTCTTTTTTAATAGAACTAGCAGTGTGAAAAGAAGTCCTGGTGTTGCACTGTGGAATAATGCACTGGACCATGAGGTTGGTTTGAACTGCAAGGTCAGCAGTTCAAATCACCAGTTGCTCCTTGGAAACCCTATATGGGGTTGTTAAGTGCCAACTCGACAGCAGCAGTGTGAATGCCACTCAGAACCATCATGCTCATGCATTCTTTTAGAATATGAGCTATTAGTAGGAGACACTTATTAGTTGATGAGACTAAGTAAAAAGCTAAGAATGCTTCATCATGCCACATGATTTAGCTGAATGAGTTATTTTGTGAAAATATTAACATTTTTATTATCATTTAATCAAACTCTACCAAGTTTAATTTATGCTGAAACCTCAATTGCCTATCATTTAGGACATTGGATGAGCCCTTTCTAATTGCATCAGTTGAGGTAACTCCACATCTTGCCTTCTTAGGGAGTTTACTATTGAAACCCATTTCCCACCCGGGATTTCACTTCCTGGAGGCTTTGTGAGCAAGAAAAAGGCCCTTCCTCCCAGAAAGGTTAGAGGCCTCCAGAGTATTGTGCTGTGATTTTGAATAGTATTAATAATTTACCATTCATGAGAATAAACTTGGCCCATATACCCTGGGTTTAAAATAAATTGAACAACTGGTTTCATGCAAACATTAGTTAGGCATTTTATGCTTTTAAATTCTCATTTAGTTATGTCATCTGTAAAAATGTATGCTATATATATATATATTGTTTTGGGGTTTTTTTTACTGGTATATTGAAATTCTTCATTCAAGGCAGAGAGGTAAGGGGATAAGGGGGGGATTTGTTGACAATTAGAAAGGCTGATATTTATAAATGAGAGGAATCATTACGTATTTTGAAGGTTAATTTTTAATATTTTTCTTTTTCCTTTTCTTTTTCTTCTTCCCTCCCTTCCTTCCTTTCCCCCCTTAATCCTAATCTCTTAATCATATTTGAAAGCTCTTTGCAAATTTGGAGATGGTCAAGAATGTAGAATTCATTATGGTAATTCTTTTTAAATGTTAGAATTTTTCATGATTTTTTAAAGAAAAAGCCTTAAGTACCAGTGTTGATTTTAGTAAAGCATAGTTTAATAGAAAACATGTGTTTGACTCTTGGCTCCATAATTATACTTAGAAAAAAAGTGAAATTTGAACTCCTTGAACCCACACATGATAACTTTTAGGAGGCTTTCCTTGGATTATTCTTTTACATTTTCTTTTCAGAGCAAACAGGATGACTTTGAGGACATTTTCTTCCTGTGTAACTTAATTCTCCAGAATTAAGTGGAGAATGGAGCTAGTTTTTAATTTGGTATTAACACCCACTCTATGTAACTACTACAGAGTGTGAAAGTTTAATATACTGTGTTCAGTGTTTTAAATCTTTTCCAGTTGGATAGCTGTTCTTTCTATAAGAATTCACTGATGATATAATGATATAGTAAGCAATAAGAACTGGGGACAGCTTATCATTTTCACAATGTAAAGTTATATTATAAATATAAATGGTTGATTTGACTCCATGTAACTAAAGTTTCTTTCTTTTTTTTTTTTTTTTGCTTTTTGTGGTAATAGGTCATAGCAAATGACAGAAGTCCCTTAGTGGGTAAAATCCACTGGGAGAAAATGGTTAAAAAGGTGTCAAGATTTGGAATACGTACAGGCACTTTTAACTGTTCCAGTGACCCCAGGTAAGTTGATTAGGCAGTTCGTAGAATTTCAATCTTGCTTTTGTCTTTCTTGTTTAATAAAGATGATGTTTGTTTGAACTGAAGCTAATCATAATTTTTAACACATTGTTTATTATAGAGGGTCTTGATTAGTATTTTTGATAAGCTGGAAGTTATTTAGTTTTTCTCAGCCATCTGTCTCTCTCCTCTTCCTGTTCTTTCTCTACACTTGAGTGTTTTTACTGGTGGGGATATTTTTTAAGAGTATGTCTTTCGTCCTTCTTGTTTTGGTTTCTTTGCCAAAGTGACATCTCTGTGCTTATCTAAAGTTTCTTCCCTAATCCTTACTTGTAATTTATATTTTGATGCTCTTTCCCATGTATCATATAACTATCCCTACATATGCCCTCTTTTCATGAAATCTGGTGTTCAAAATCAGATTCATCGTCCCTTTAGTAAAGCACGTGTTCTTTCTACCTTTCCTTTTTCTGCCCTTTACTGCTTTGTTCTTTTGTTTTTCATATTCTCATACAAGAATCCTTGGAGATATTTTTTTTTCTTTCTTTTCATCTTCAGTATTCACGCTGTCATATTTTTTTAAATGCTTATTTCCATTCTTAGTGCTTCCAAGTTATAACTTTCCCCTATTTATTTATTGTTGCTGTTGGTAAGTGTCGTTGAGTCGGTTCCAACCCATAGCGACCCTGTATAGGGTTTCCTAGGAGCAGCTGGTGAGGTTGAACCGTCAACCTTGCAGTTCAAATGGCTTTGCAGTCTGGTGCATTAACCCACAGCATTTATTTATTAGACATTCAACAAATAGTTAATAAAAGATTAGCATGTACAGCATACTGTTCCATGTTGAACATGTTACATATCTAGAAAACTCCACAGTTATTAGGCAGTTTCTAATGTAGGTAGATACACTGACTTTATCTATGCCCTTTATAGCCCTTGACCACAAAAGACGACCTATTGGCTAGCAATGGCTATCAAAATCCATTCCATATGACTGCTACGGCTCAGTGCTTTGAACTCTTTATCCTTTGTCTTTGGCTAGATGTTTGCTTTTCTCTCCATTGTGTTTGTTTTGTCCTGAGGAGGAAGGGAAGTTCTTGTATCACTTGCTCAGATTTAGTCTCCTTTATCAAACCAAAAAGCTCCAAATGCTCAAGGTAGTCTAAATCTTAATGGTCTTCTGAAAAGGAAATCATTTTTATTTCTATCCCGTGTTTTAACAAAGATCTTTAGTATTTTGTTCCAACTCCATCTTTCCAAATAGAGTTTAAGTGATGATTTTGGGTTGCTTTTTTTTCTTCCCTTTATTGGTGATTGCATATAATTTACAAATATTTTAGAAAATACTAAGTAAAAACAGATATATAAAAATGTAAAGGTTAAACACATTATAATCTAAGCTGTTAGATAATATTAGTAAAAAAAAACCCCAAAATAAACTAAACACAACACAAAATGAAGATAATCTATTAATTTAAAACTACTACTTGATCTTTTTTCTTTTTAGTGTGATGTTGAAAAGCAAACTGTATCGGTCATGTCATGATTAGGTCCAGTGGATCTTAGTGCAGATATATCTAGCTTTGGAAAGCTTTCTGACTTTATGATAGCTGGAGACTGGTGAGAAAGTACATCTAAGCTATCTCTGGGTATTTTCTCCTCAATCTTTCATACTAATCTTTAAATTTGTTTTTGTTGTTAAATGCCGTCGAGTCTGTGATGACTGATAGCAACTTTGTGTAGGGTTTCTTAGGAGTAGCTGGTGGTTTTGGACTTGCCAGTCTGGCGATTACCAGTCTAGTGCTTATCCTACAGTGCCATCCCAGGACTCCAATATTTAAATAATCCTACATATTATTTATTATATAAGAGGCCTTTTTTAGCAACTTTTTGCTCTTTTGCTAATTGAATTATTCATTTTTTGTTATTAGATAAGCACTTCTATTTCATCTTCTTTTTTAGTTTCATCTCAAAGATAAAGGCTGTGATACACAGTTACTTGTATAGTTTTAATATTGTCATTGTGTTCATGTTTTATCTTATTTCAAAAGTCAACTAGAGTAAAAACGATTCTTGCTATAGAAGTTTTTCTCTTTTGAGAATTATGGAGATACCCAAGAACAAAATAGGGAGATAATGGGGGGGGAAGTGTTCAGAATTACAGTGCAGTATGTAATGGGACAGAGAATAGTGTTACACAGGAAGTTTTTAAAAATTGCTGTTATCATATATTGAGTGAGTCATCATTTTGATCTCAGATCTTTAAAAATACCAAACACGACTGCCGGTACAGCCTCCTTTGAGGTATTATTTCCACTGTGCGGTGGTACTTTCCTGTCCTGTTTAGCAGCCCTGAGAAACCTTAAGTCCATAACTTCTGAACAGCTCTGACTGTCCAGGGGCGTGGGTTTTATTTACTTTTGCACACACATCCAGTAGGGATTGCCTTGTCTCACTCTTAACAATCCCATTCTCCAACCAAGAGATCTCTTCCGTAGGGCTTTTCCTGCCAAGTCTATCCACTGCTCTTTTTTTGGAGGAAATAGGAGGTGAGTGTGTCTATTGGTGAATGGAGATTGGGGGAGTAGGCAGGAGAAGATGAGGATGTGGAAATTGCAGGAGCTGAGTGGTAAGTAGGGTCTAGGAGGCTTATGATGAGAGTATCAGGGATGGGAACCCATGGAAAGGACAGGGAAGGGAAAGGGAAGATTGGAGAGAGGCCAAGAAGGCCAAGGAAGACAATGATTTTCTAAAGAAACAGCATTAATAAACAGAAATACTTAGAGTTCATATTAAATATAGCATGCCACACCAGAAACACGAATAACAAAACAGAATAACCATATTTCCTATAGTTTTCAGTTTTTAAATTCTCTTAAGAGGTCATAAAAGATCTCTAACAGATTTCAAAAGATTAATTTTAAGAACTATAGGATGTTTTTCATGGTGGTATTACTGAGTTTATTTAGATCTTTAATTGTTTTTAACTGGCACTGGAAGTTTTTCTATTGGTGCTGGTTGCTGTTAAGTGTCTTCGAGTCTGTTCTGACTCATAGTGACCCTGTAACAGAGTTTCTGGGGAGCGACTGGTGGGTCTGTACCACAGTCTAGTGCTTATCAATAATACAACACTGTTCTTAAAAAGTAATATGCACAGTAGTCTTTATGTCTATTTAGCTTTGGAATTTAAAAATTAATACAATATGTTTGCATTTTAAATATATTTTGACCAATGTTTATAAAATATTAGTTTTGGTATTTTGTTTTTCTAAAACCTAAAACATGTAATTTTAATTAGAAAGATAAGACATATGGAATTTGTTTTCCTATGGGACTCTTACATTCTGTCTTGATTGACAAACCTTAAAACTATTATTTTGCTCTCAACTGAAAAGTAAACAAACAATATACATGTTTTCTTACATGAAGAAATGTATGCACTAAGGCCAGGTTTACAGAGTAAGATTTTCTGTTAGAAAGACTGTCATCTGACTTGTAACACAAATCAGAAGTCAAATATTGTTGGAAGTATTTTTGGAGGTAGTTACAGAAAGATAAAAAGAATTGACCACGAGTAGAAATGTGTCATTGCAAGTACCATATGCAATTAAAAAAATTTAAATGACCTAAAGATATTTAGGAGTCCTAGTGTGGCGCTGTGGGTTAATGCACCAGACTGCAAAGCCATTTGAACTGCAAGGTCAGCAGTTCAAACTCAACATCTGCTCCTCGGAAACCCTATACAGAGTCACTATCAGTTGCAACCGACTCCATGGCACTTCACAACAACAACAAAGATATTTAAAAGGAACCCTGCTGACACAAATGGTTATGCATTCAACTAATTAAAAGGTTGGTGGTTCAAACCCACCCAGTGACTCTGCAGGAGAAAGACCCGGCGACCTCCTTCCAGAAAGATTACAGCCAAGAAAATTCTATAGCATAGTTCTAATCTATCACATGGGGTTGCTATGAGTTAGAATCTACTCAATGGCATCTAACAACAACAAAGATACTTGAGATGTAACGTATCGTAATTATCTAGTAATCTATATTCATTTGACTTGTTTGTTGTTGTTAAGTGCTATCAAGTTGGTTCTGGTTCCAACTCATAAAGGCCCTGTATAGGGTTTTCATGGAGCGGCTGGTGAGTTTGAAATGCTGACTTTTAAATTAGCAGTCCATTGCTTAACCTACAGCACCACACCAGACTAGAATTCATGTCATTGAATTATTGTTTTTCATTGGACAAATAGAGTGTTAAGTAATAGAAGCGACTTTATTTTGTAGGAATATATAATTTTCACTTGAAAGAGAATACTGATAGTGTTGGAATGTACCTTGTTAAGGTAGTGAATCAGTTCAAGAAAAAACTTGGAGTGCTGGCCTGTGATTTTTGTCACCGGGGAGTTTCCCACAATCATTACTAACCATTACTTATGACATAACTTCTTGTCTTCCGTTATCTTAAGTTATATCACAGAATTCCTGATATAAAAATTAATCATATTATCCATATAAAGCTATGCCACATACTCACACAGACTTCCCCCTCAATTCGATCAAATGAACATGTGTAATATATTTAATGTATTAAAATATCCATGCTTTTAAAATAAAGCATAGTCTGATTTTTATGTGAATAGTCTGAATAGCAAAATAAGAGATTAAATAGTTATTACAACCTGTTTATAGATATGGAATGAACAAAATGTACTCACATGGTAGGGTTTTAAACATTTGTATTGAAGTATATTTTACATATCATAGATTTCTACATGGTAACTTTTTTTGAGGGAAAAAAAAATTCACCTTTTTTTAACAAAATAAGGAAGATGTTTTCATTTATAATCCCACTACTGTAATGTAAGAGTTGTCATTTGTCAGCATTTCCTTTTATTCAAGAGGAGAGGATTATTGTAAACCTCATAGCAAGAGCCTTTTCCCTAAAGGAGTGGAATCATGGACCCTACTTGATAAAACTAAACAAATGATTTAATTTTAGTTAAAGTCTTCTATTTACTTAGAAAATGGAGATAATTCTTAGACTGAATTCCTTGTTGGGTTTTTTTGTTTTTGTTTTTGTTTTTTGACTTTTTATTGGAGTTGAGTGAAAGTTTACAGAATATATCAGGCTAAGAATCTAAATACTTTATCTTTTTTCCCCTCTGTGTTAAAGTAAAATACTCCTTTCATGGTCTTCAATGACAAGATGAGAGAATACAAAAAAAAAAAAAAAAAAAAAAAAAGTCACCTCATTTAATATGCTCAGAGAGATAGAGAAGATATTGAATACATGAAAAAAAAAAAAAAAAAAAAAAAAGGACTTATAGTAGCTCTTTTCTGGGTTAACAGATTACTTTCTTTGTAACAGTGACTGTGTGTGCCAGTCACTGTCAAAGATGTTTGACTCCTACCTTCAGGAAGCTTGCATTCAAGTCAGGGATTCTTTGAGTCGGGTATCTGTTTCCTTCTCTCTTCTTTACCTAGCTGAATTCTAACTTCCCTTCAAGACCTAATTCTATTCCTAAATTTCTCATGCAGTCTTCACTAGTTCAAACTCCCAGTGATAATTCCTTTATTTAAACTTTTTTTGCACATTTATCAATAGAATGTCTACAGTTTTTATATTTCATCTAAGTTTTGTCATCTTATTAGGATTTAAAATTATTTGTGGGCCAAAATTGTCTTCTTATTGTCAGTTGCCTCTTATGAACACATAATGCAGTTGTTTTCATTGTTAAGTGCCATTGAGTTGGTTCTGATTCATAGAGACCTGCATAGGCTTTCTGAGGCTTTTTAAGTCTTCAAGGGAGCAGAAAATCTCATTTTTCTCCTGCTGACCAGCTAGTGGGCTTGAACTGCAGGTCTTGTGGTTCACAGTTCAATGCTTATCATAGTAGATACGTTAATAGACACTGAAGTATGTATCTGATGATTCTCTTAACTCAGACTTTTCAAGGTACACTTTTCTTTAAGAAAAAAAAAAAAAAAGGAAAGAAAGAAACAAAGATATACAAAACAAAACTGTTAGAGAAAGAGAGCTTGCTGTTTCCTCTAGTGTAACTGCTACATACTGGTACCACTTTTAATAATCTGGAGGTTATTTTGTTTTGGGAAGTGTTTATAAATGTGCACTTCATGTATATTTTGATACTTTCAGGGTAAAATCAATTATTTGTACAACAGTGAAGATGAGCAGTCTGGCTCCTGTAGTAGCCTAAGCTATTTATTTAACCATTTACTCTTTTGTAGATACTGCAGGAGAAGAGGCTGGGTTCAATCCACTCTCATTATGTCAGTTCCACAAACAAGTACTTCTAAAGGGAAAGTCATGCTTAAAGAATACAGTGGACGCAAGATTGAAGTAGAACACATTTTTAAGTGGATAACTGCTCATGCAGCTTCTCGTATCAAAACAATTTATAATGCTGAACACTTGAAAGAAGAATGGAATAAAAGTGATCAGTATTGGGTAAAAATATACCTGTTTGCAAACCTTGACCAACCCCCAGCTTTCTTCTCTGCACTAAGTATAAAGTTTACTGGAAGAGTTGAGTTTATTTTTGTTAATGTGGAAAATTGGAACAACATGAGTTATATGATAGATATTGGTGTATATCACATGCCATCATATGTACTTAGAACTCCTGAAGGAATTTACAGGTATGGAAACCACACAGGTGAATTTATATCCCTTCAGGCCATGGATTCATTTTTGCGCTCACTACAGCCTGAAGTAAATGATCTGTTCGTTTTAAGCTTGGTTCTAGTTAATCTTATGGCTTGGATGGACTTATTTATCACACAAGGAGCTACCATAAAGCGATTTGTGGTTCTCATAAGCACTTTAGGGACATACAATTCTTTATTAATTATTTCCTGGCTACCTGTGTTGGGCTTTCTACAGCTTCCTTACTTAGATAGCTTTTATGAATATAGCTTAAAATTGTTGAGATATTCCAATACAACCACACTGGCTTCATGGGTGAGAGCAGATTGGATGTTTTATTCTTCGCACCCTGCCCTGTTTCTCAGTACATACCTTGGACATGGTTTACTAATTGATTACTTTGAGAAGAAGAGACGGCGCAACAACAATAATGATGAAGTGAATGCCAATAACTTAGAATGGTTATCAAGTCTGTGGGACTGGTATACCAGCTACCTCTTCCACCCGATTGCTTCTTTTCAGAATTTTCCTGTACAGTCTGATTGGGACGAAGATCCTGACTTATTCTTGGAACGATTAGCTTTCCCTGACCTTTGGCTTCACCCTCTGATACCAACTGATTATATTAAAAACTTACCAGTATGGCGATTTAAATGTCTTGGAGTCCAGTCTGAAGAGGAAATGTCGGAGGGTTCTCAAGATATTGAAAATGACTCAGACAGTGAAAACACAGACACTTTAAGCTGTGAAAAGGAAGTATTTGAAGATAAGCAAAATACAGTTCACAGTTCTCAAGGAAAAGCAAGTCACTGTGATAATGAGGCTTGTTCATGTGCCAATAAATATTATCAGACAGGCTCATATGAAAGGAAAGGGAGGTCTTATGGATCATATAATACTAATGAAGATATGGAACCTGATTGGTTAACTTGGCCTGCTGATATGTTGCACTGTACTGAATGTGTTGTTTGCCTAGAGAATTTTGAAAATGGATGTTTGCTAATGGGGTTGCCTTGTGGTCATGTGTTCCATCAGAATTGTATTGTGATGTGGTTGGCTGGGGGCCGACACTGTTGTCCTGTTTGCCGGTGGCCTTCTTATAAAAAAAAACAGCCATATGCATACCACCAGCCCTTGTCAAATGATGTCCCATCTTAACCATGTGCAATTTGTCCTTTATAAGCTTTGAGTATCTTACAGCTTGCCTTTTTAATGTTAGTCACAATGTTTTTGTGGTTTGAAGTTTAGTTTAATGTTAGTGCAGTGACAGGAAATATACATTATGCTAATGTTGATGACAGAATTATTTGGTTACCCTGTGTGTCAATTGAATGCATACTTAATTGTAAAATTTTTTATTTACACCATTGGAAATTCAGAAGTTAATGTTTTTTGTAAGCACAAAATAAGTATGATAGAAATTTATCCTAGCAAGCGTTTATAAGGTAGGATCAAATTCTAATGAAATTGAGCCGGTTTCTTATCCTAAATGTTTCCTTCCTTTCTACAATCTCTGTCCAGCACCTCTTGGTTAAATAATGTATGCTCTGAGACATGAAATTAAAACAAACCTATGAAATAAATTATTTTAAAACCAGAAGATTAAGATTTTCCAATGTTAAATTGTTGACTGAGTGTTTTACATGTGTTAATTTGTTAATTTTATTAGTTAATTGTACAGGTAAGTCAAACCTGCTTTCTGACTAATATTTAAAATGAGATAGAATTAAGTTACTTACATTGGCCAAAAGCTGATAGTAGTCTACTTTTTTAGCTTTGTGAGCTTTGATGGGAAGGAATCGCATGGTGGTATTTAATAATTTTTCATTAATAGCATATTCATCTAAATAAAATCAACTGACAGCTAGCTACACAGACATAACCTTTTATTGACTTCTATTTTGAAATTTTCTTTTAATTTAGAATTTTTTTTCAACTACAGAAAAGTCAAAAGCATAGTACAATTCCATTCCCCTTCATTTAGATTCACCAAGTATTCACATTTCATTTACTTTTGCTTTATCTCCTTTCTGTGTGTATTTGTTGTCTTTATTTCACTTATTTCTTTTGCTGATTCAACATCATTACTGTATTTTTAGTAAAAGTTGACATGGCAAATTGGGTTCCCATTTAGCAATTTTGTGGTGCTGTTGGATAAGCACTGGACTCTTAACTACAAAGTTGGTGGTTCAAACCCACCAGCCACTCCTTGGAAACCCTATACAGGCTTGCTATGAGTCAGAACCAACTCGATAGCACTTACTAACAATACGTATTGTTCAGTGTCATTGGATATATTTTCCACAATGTGTCAGCATTCTTATTTCCATTCTGGTTCTGTTTCCATTAATCTAGTTTCCCTGCCCACCTCTTCTTGTTTTAGCTAAATATTGCCCATTCAGTTTCATATAGATGATCATTTAAATGGAGTACAGTACACATTGGTGATGTTTGTTTTATGAGCACATCTATTATTTGTCTGAAAGGTGGCCTCCAGGAATGAATTCAGTTCTAAATTTAAGAAATATCTTGGAGCAGTAGTCTTGGGGGATTTTCTAGTCTCCACCAATCTAATAAGTCTGGTCTTTTTTTAGAAATTTGAAGTTTGTTCCACATTTTTCTCCCATTCTACCTGGAATCAGCTGTTGTGTTCCTGGTGAGAATGATTGTTAGTGGTAGCTAGGCACTATCTAGTTCTTCTGGTCATGGGATAGACAAGACCATGGTGTGAGCTGTAATACTTGTCTTAGTCCTCTAGTGCTGTTGCTATAACAGAACTAGTACAAGTGGATGGCTTCAACAATCAGAAATGTATTCTCTCAGAGTTTGAGAGGCTAACAGTCTGATTCAGAGCACCAACTCTGGAGAAAGTTCCTTGTTTCCTTTCCACATGTGTGGGCCCAGCATTCCTTGGCGATCCCCATATATCTTAGCATCAATCCTGCCCTGAATCTAGGAGCTTCAAAGCACAGGGCCCTGAGCTTCAAAGGAAACACTCCATTCTTGGCTTTTGTTGCTTGAGGGTAGTAGGTCCCTCCTTCCCTGCTTGCTTCTCTCTCTTTGACTCAATTGAGATTGACTCAAGATACAACCTAATCCTGTACATCTGACCTCATTAACATCACAGAAATGAGGAGTTACAACACATAGGAGAATCACATCAGATCAGGGCTGATCACATCAGATCACATCATGTGGTGATTTGTATTATATTAGATCTCATCAAGGGGGTTACAACCTATTAACTGCCAAACCACTGAGAATCTCTGCCAAGCCAAGTTGACATAAAACCTTAGCTATCATAGTCCTGTAGACTGGTTTCATATTTGAGTTTTGGTTTTCTTCCTTTCTCTTATGCTTAAGACAAGTACAGACCCATAGTTGTATCTTCCATAGCAGCTCACAAGCTTTTATTATTTTTTTCAAAGGTTTTTATTGTGGATTGAGTGAAAGTTTACAGGACATATCATAAGTTTTACATTCAATAAATCATATATCTTGTTCTTTACAATGATTATAATCCCCTCCATGTACCATCAGTTAAAAGTATTTCTCTCTATCCACTTTAGCTTTTTAAAACAAAACAAAACACTCAGGCATATATAATAATTTACATCTCCAAAGGGCACATTCTGCAAGTCTGCCTCCTGGCCACCAGCTCTTAGTCCCTCTCTTCCCATGAATCTAGAGTCCTCAGCCACCCTCCCTCCGCCTCCCCCCCACCCCATTGCCCCCATCTCTGCCTCCATCTCTGGCATTGCTGCTTCTCTAGATAAGGGCCTGCATTCTGCTTGTGCTCTTCTCCCTTGATGGTCTTAGGGTCCACTGTTTATGGACTGTAAGTTTAACCACTCCCCCTGTTTTTGTTACAAAACTTCTACCTTTACCATTGTGGCAGTGGCAATTAGTCATGATAACAATTATTCATTATTGAATCATACGAATCTTATCCCCATCTCTTTCACCAGACCCATCTAGACAAGATGAAATCTATTCATTGGGGACTCTTTCTTTCCACCCATACTCTTAAACAAAAACCCTCTTGAAACCTTGTAAGCCAGTCACTTTGTGCCTTTATCGCCCCACATTTTAGGTAGCCAACGTCTAAGTTGCCTGTCCTTATCTCCCCTGTGTACAGAGGGGATAGCATTGATACTTGATGTGAAGATTCCTTCCTTCTCTTTTGGTATTTAGAGTAATTACCTCTCTGAGTATAGGTCATCTTCACCAAACTGTAGCAATTTACCCTTGTTTCCTTTATCAAAAAACTTTTTTTTTTTTTTTTGTAATCTTCCTTTAGTCAAGTTCTGATTATTGAGCCATGGAGTCTAGGTCAATGAGTACCGTATGCAAGTTTGGGTGTTCTTGTGCATCTCCCCTCACTTCCTATCAGCTGGATGCTTCACTCTCAGCTCTAGCTCTCTGTGACTATGTCCTTGTCCATGTGCTCAAAATGTCCTCAGGTCTCACCACACTTTGGACCAACCAGCCCTTCCTTTTCTCTCTCTCATCTCCAGGTAGATGGGAGTCAATGGACTGTGGTTGAACTCAGCCCATTTCTTCATTGCTGCCTTTCCCCCTCTTCCACTCACCGGTAGACCAATGTGGTTGCCAGCAAGCTTACATGCTTGGCTGTGTGTTCCCTTTGAGTTTCAGCCTTAGAGGGGAGTTTGTCCTGAAGGAACTTGATTGCTAGCGTTTATGTCTTCCTGGCAAACAGCTTGCTTATTCTTGTAGTAGCCAGTCATGCTGACATTTTTGTTTTGGTTTTTTCCTGATGATCGTTTTTCAAAGATGTATCTTCTGTCACTGTAGCTGTTCCAGGCTGGTCTGCTTGTCTAGTTAGACTGTCCCACCTTATAAGGTTCTGGATGGGACTCAGGAGTCCACCTAAGGTCCTATACTCTGCAAAGGCTTTGCATGAGGCCTATTTCACTTCTAGCAAGTTCTAGAACCCCTTTTAGGTATTCCAATCAGTTATAGGCTGAAGATGGGCTTACAAGTTTTCTCTAATCATGTTTCCCAACATTCCTTTCTATCCCACTCAAGTGTCTTATTTAACAGTAGTAGGCATGGAAAACTAATAATCATAAGACAGTCAAGCATTTTAGTATTACTCCCCCTCTTCAGACTATACCTAGATCCCTGTATCCCCGAGCCCTGTTGTTCCAAGGTTTAGCATGCATCACTGTTTACCTCTGTTCCACTTAGGACATGCAAACCTGT